AATATCAATAATCAATTTTTCAGATTTTATCTATGGATTTTTATACAAACGTAATATTAAATTGACGTTAATATGTTACTAAGCATTTAATATTAAAACTTCATATATAAATCATATATATGATCAAATTTTTGATGCGAAAATATTACTTTCAGTTCAATCTCGGAAAAAAGTTTCTCAGAGTTCCATACAAAGATTACGAAAGATGTTAATGTGATATACCGGTATATCGTAATACATACCACATCGTTTTCGCTCAGTAAACTGAAGCAAACGATGTCGAGGTCACGAATGGGTGCAGTTTAATACATCCGTCCATTGTAGCTTCTCGGTACAAATAATAACTCGCCATTGTTTCCGCCATGGATATTTTTCGATATCTCTAATTAATTCATTCTCAAGCGACCGCGCTTTCAAACGTACGCCATCCAATGAAAATATAAAATCAACATCGCGAAATAAAAAAGTATGTATTATTTATTGTTAGAGATAAATTCACTTGTTTTTCCATAACTGTATAAAGTATACAAGTCAGAATCCTTTTGTTAGAGTGACGTACAGTAAATATAAACTATATAAAGATACCGTCAGGCAAACTCTATTTCTCTGTCACATCAGAAAAAGAACAGATTCGTTCCGAGATACATCTTTCCCTGAGAGAATAATAGGTTTATTCGCGATTTTCGCGTCGGCGTCGCGTGTGATGCTCTACCATGTGAAAATCTGGCGTAAAAATGAAGAAATGTTGCCGGGATAAGAAAAATTGATCGAGAATTTCACGCGTGTCTAGGAACTTTTGTTGCGAGTTGCACGATTATGTCTGCGTCGGTGGAAAGGCGTGCGGAATTGGGTTACGAGTGTAACGGCATGTTAACCCTTTATAAGGCCATTCCAACTTCGCACGCTGGCATTGTCCTTATTTCCTATGTAGTGTCATGCGGTACCTTCCGCGGCTCGTAGAAATATTGCGTTGTTTTAAGACGCTTCCAGAGTATTAAAGACGAGATTCTATAGTATATAAGTCACAGTAATAATTTTATTAAAATTAATATTACGATAAGAGCAAAACGTGCGTAAAATTGATAAAGTTTATGAGAAGATAGAAATCTGTCTCTCCGATGATCTATATACTTATGGGATTTTTAAATTATCAAATACCGTAAAATTCATCAAATAATATTCTATATATTATAGTTTATATATCTTGATTTTTTTCTATTTTTACATAACGCCGCATTAAACGTCGCAGCATAAAAACTAATTTTCTCTACTGAGCGTTACGATCACGATAGCAATTCGGTGAACGAACGAGCAGCGTGAAAAATTCATCGTTCGTATTTGGAAACGCAATTGGAAATCCGGAAAATTTGCCGACCTATGTACGATCGTGGAAAATCTCCGGCTTTTAAATTCGAAACGAGAAACCCGAGATAAGCGCCGCGATAAAGTACGAGTGGAAAGACGAAACTCGCGAAGTAATAACTTCCCCAGGCGATCTCAATATTTGATTTCTGTCGATCGCAAATGGGGCGGGATCCTTGATAATACCGGCACGACGCTACATCCGCCGACGTACTTCTGGAACAAACATATCCTCGTGTATATCTCGTCGAAAAAGTAAGCATCCATCTTCGTATCCTGTTACATCGATGAAAATCACAGGAAAACATCGGCGCGGAAAAATACGGTATTCTAATTGAAGGGTTCGAACATGAAAATATCCTTGTATACTTGTACGATATACCAGCCGAGCAATTCTATCCCGGATAATGCGACTCAATTTACAATTTGTTTACAATGGAAGTCTGAATTATAAATGCAGTTTTGAAATACGTGCTATTTAATCGGATACGATTGCAAACTTAAACAACGTATTGATTTTATTATATAACTAGATACTCTCGAGCAAGATGTAATTAATCATTTTTTTTTTAAATTGACTCGTATAATTTTATGCAAGTTTTCATTTCATCCTCCTTTTTCCTCTTGAGATCTCGTCAGGCGCTGCGAGACTGCATCGCCTTGTAACCCGCTGCATCCACGGTTATGTTTTCGATAGTTCTCCGTCTCTGTCTCTCTTTGTGGAGAAACGACACTCGAGATGATGGCGAAGAATTCCTCGGGCATTCTCGAAGTGAGGAAGTAAAATCGTCTTGGCATAGATCGATGATTCGGACAACGCAATCGGTCAGCGAACTCGCTTGCATCGAAATTTTAATGATCTCGGAATACACTATCAAAAACTTTTTATGAAAACTATCTCCCCTCTCTCTTCGTATATTATAAAATATTTAATAATAAATAATGTAATTTATTTTATATATTGAAAATAT